ATAAATAAATTAAACGAATGTTTTAAAATTTGAAAAAATTGGTGGACATTTTTGCGTTGCGTTATTAGTAAATTGTTCTGCATTTATAATTCCAACTTTCAACAATAATACTATGATTCAACAATAATCATAGATTTTAAAAACGTGTGTACAGTTTCTGATACAAACGATAAATTAAATACAATAAATGCAACTAAAATACAATGCAATACATTCAAATATAATAAATAAAATAAATACATTATACTATTAAGAAAAAAACGATTCTTGTTTCAGATATCGTAAAACGTTCCTTTCGAATTGTATCGTAAGATACGCTTCTTTCAACCGTAACATCCTAAATGAAACATAAATTCTTGATTTGCCTTTTTCATCTTTTTCTCAAGCATTTCGAATCTCACGTAAACCTATACATACATATGTGAGCAAGATGGAAGTCTAGTGATGTATTCCTACCGAGTTCACCGGATTTCCCCTTAATATTGAGTTTTCCCAATGCGTCGACACCGGGTGGTGACCGCCATGGGTATTTTAGGGAGTCAAAATTCTACGGCACCCTCGATCATCTCGCCGGGTCGAGGGTGGCTCTAGAAAATATTTTTCAAATCAAGAAAAATTTAATCAAACGCCCATAGGCATTTACTACACGATACGCATACGTAAATAAAGAAAGGGTAGCATTCTATAATACTTTACGGAGTGACGAAGCTGGTTTCGCGAACGAATAAAATTGTTTATATTTTATTACATTATGTTTGCAACGCGGCATCTACTAAATTATGCAATTTTTGTTCTGAGTCGCAATGGAAGTTGACAAACGTTGAACTTTACAGTTTTTATATTCTTTCAACTTTCGTTTTCTCGTGTAATCAATTATCAATAATTGAATTGTTATACAATGTTACGTTGCATACGTTGAATTACATTGTTTTGTGTAAAATTATTCGAATACTGGCGGTTCTATATTATCATTGAATATCAAACGTTTTATTGCTTGTTATATAGACTGTTTCAAAATAGATAAGGATTGCAAATAAAATAAATAAATTAAATTACGTACGGATAAAAACGAATAGAGATGAATAAAAACGAATAAAAATGAATGAGAACGAATGAAAACAAATAGAAATGAATAAAAACAAATAAAAACGAATAAAAACGGATAAAAACGAATAAAAACGAATAAAAACGAATAAAAACGAATAAAAACNAAAACAAATAGAAATGAATAAAAACAAATAAAAACGAATAAAAACGGATAAAAACGAATAAAAACGAATAAAAACGAATAAAAACGAATAAAAACGAATAAAAACGAATAAAAACGAATAGCAAATAAAAATGAATAAAGCAAATAAAAGCAAATAAAACGAATAAAACAAATAAAAATGAATAAAGCAAATAAAAACAAATAAAACGAATAAAGCAAATAAAAACAAATAAAACGAATAAAAATGAATAAAAAATAGAATAATTTCCTACGAAGTTTTGTAAGAAATTTCCAATTTCGATTTTCTCCAAAATGAGGCGTCAGAAATATATATATATCTCTTTTCTTTTGTCTCATTCATGCAAAATAATCTGATGCACGGTCACACCGTATCATCGAGATAACGTGACACGTGAACAAAGAACAATAGACTTACGTCGATGTGAGGGCGTCGCTCCACTCGGTTTCGACAGTGATACGAGGTTTACCGTCCACATCGTTCTCCGAATGCGGCGACGTGACCACCGGTTGGCTACCACGGAACCAAGACACCGTGCCCAAATCGTGAGGCCCCTGGGACATCAGGCAGGTCAGCGTGAGAATACTTCCGGTTTTCACGTATATGTCCGACGAGCCGTTTATTCTGGCGCGTGCCTCTGCAACACACAATATTTCCGCCAATTAATAACGATCGAAGAAACGCATCCGGAAGCAGCACTCTGCCTCAAGAATCTTTTGCTTTATCAACTGTGTAATAATGTTGCCCGTCGCTGCGCTGAAATTGTAAAAAAAATTGATATATCACGACGAAAGATCAGAATATTTTTTGATGGTTCAAACGATGAAGATATCGTCAGAGGTCGCCAAGAGCCTCTTCAAGTTCAGAAGAGAAAGGTCGAATGCCTGAAAATACGCCAAATAGATGCCACCTGCAAACATGTAAATGTCCGAATAATTTCAGACAACGATGCACGTAATTTGCAAGCTAAATCGTAAATGATTTCTTCGATGCGTTATGTTTTACGCAACAGTGAGAAGTCGCGGTGCAGTTTGCGGCACGATTCTTACAATTCCGCGTAAAAATCGGTTTCCAAAATATCCCGGCGAGATAACGAAAGCCTTTCTCCAAGCAGCTCCGGCAGTTTCAACATAGTACGAATTCAGTCAAGGACACGGCGTTTCAAGGACCGATGTTCCGAAACCTTGATCCCGGCTCCCTGACCGCGTCAATATTACGCGCTATTATCTGATAACCCGAGCCGATAAATTATTCATATTGCGGACAAATCTCATCGCGTATAAGCAACCAGCGGTTCGGGTCCCCTGACATCGAAGATCGACCTACTTTACGATCGGCACATGAATGTCCCCGCGTGTTGCGCATCTATAATGGGGACGGGGCAATTATGCGCGAGCAAAACTGTCGTCGCGAACCAACTTTCGCGGGAACAAAGTTAGCTGGAACATACGCGAACTATGTGTTTAAAACTATCGTTATCTATCCATTATACGTCACGCAGGAGTATGTACGGGGGTGTCTCTATCTAGCCGGCCGAGGCACTACAAGCAATGGAGGAACGATTCGTAAAACTTAACGAGCAGAGATCATAACGCACACTGCTTCAAGGCTCGAACTCTCGCGCGGCACCTAACTTTATGCACACGATCGTAATATGTAATAGGTTCTATAACTATTCGTGCGTTACGAAGTAGGTTGCAGTTAACGCGTTATTTACCGGCGGATTTCTTATCGTCTCGAGAATGTGCTGGCTAAGGTGCTGCTTATATTTTTAATGCACGATTTATGTTTTTAATCTACGATTTGTATTTTACAGTTTATGATTTATATTTTTAATTTATGATTTATATTTTAGAATTTACGATTTATGTTTTTAATTTATGCTTTATATTTTCCAATTTATGATTTATATTTTTAATTTACGATTTATATTTTCCAATTTACGATTTAAGGTTTTAATTTACGATCCATGCTTTTCATTTACAATTTATATTTTCCAATTTACGATTTATACGATTCATTTACAATTTATATTTTCCAATTTACGATTTATACGATTCATTTACAATTTATATTTTCCAATTTACGATTAAAACTTTCCATTTATAATTTATATTTTTAATTTACGATTTATACTATTCATTTACAATATTTTCCAATTTACGATTTATACTTTCCATTATGATTTATATTTTTAATTTACGATTGATACTATTCATTTACAATTTATATTTCTAATTTACCATTTATATTTGTAATTTACCATTTTTATTTAAAATATACGATTTATATTTCTAATTTCCCATTCATACTTTCAATATAGGATTTATATTTTCAATTTACCATTTATATTTTCAATTTATCAATTATATTTTAC